TAGGAAACAAAACTTCAAGAACACGGCCACACAGCCCGGAAGACCCACACCAGCCAAAGTTCAACCAGTTTAAAACTTTGAAAAGGCTCTTTATTTCACATGTAAAGCCTTCTTCCAGTGGGATTCTTTTTAATGATGATGATGATGATGATGATGATGATGATGATGATTTAATTAAGATTGTGCTACGTTGTGAACGTTTCTTCTGCCCATTCTACATTGTGTATTGGTGTGATTTTTATTTAATCTTTGTACCATGGATGTTTTATTTTGTGCCATAATGTTTTATGTTTTTATCTATTACCAAGACTCACATCCTTGTGGTGGTATAAATATGAAAATTATTACACTGTTGTAAATTGGGTTCATAGGACATTGGTGTCCCATGAAACAAATCTTCTTTATATAAAATGAGCATATATGCTATATTTTTTTTTTTAAAAATAGCTGCAGTAGTTAAAAAACTGACATAAGACAAATGTGACTTTTTTGTTTGTTTCCAACTATTATTGACAGTACAGGACATATGTTTTAAAGCATTCTGAAGCTGATTTTATTTTATGAAAGTAGTCCACTGATACAATGTGATGAGGGAAAGGTCTACAATGTGTTTTATTAATGGACTATTAAAAAAAAAAACTATTGTCCTTTTTTCCTTAGTGGAAAGAAAAATATGTATAAAACATGTTAACTAGTGTCCTTACTTTAAAAGTCAAGTCAGATGATATATCTTTTTGTTTTTGTTTTAATAAGGACAGCACATAAGGATCAGATATCCCAAGCTGAGATCCTAATTCAGCTTGTCCCCCAACCTATCTCTAATGTGCATTGCTTAAAATAATTTATTTTAATGCATTATTTTAGGTAAGGAAAAGTATGTACAGGTGCAAGTTCCCTATCCCTGTCAGAAGTGCGGGAGGGACCACAAATTAAGTGTTCCATGCTAGAATCCTTTGAACGTGCAATATGATTCTAGCATCTAAATCGGGGGGGGGGGGATTTACCTTTTAGTGTTCCCCAGGGAACCCAAGGGCGGTTTTGTCTAAAAAAATTTTTCCGGTTTTTGATTTAAGCATCAATGGGGAGAAAAGC